GGTTGCTAGAGCCACATAGAGCAGATGATTTAGAAAACACATCAGTGCATGCCAAAATGCAGGTTTCGGCTTTCGGCCGTCGGCTGCATTTCTGAGAAGATATCAGTTTAAAGTGGCAAAAGTAAGACAGGGCATGGGATGAACTCGGCCAGCAGGTTTGCGTCCACATGCTTGGAATGGATGGCCTCCATGCTCATAACAACTAAATCCAAATTCATATCATCAGCAACCTCACCGATTATGGCTGTTGGCTGCTTCCCTTCCCCAAGTCGCTCTAGCAACTTGAATTCCTGGAATCCACCTAAGATATTCATGAAACATGAGAAATCAACAAAGAGCTGTCACTTTGATACAAATAGCCAGTTATTTAGACGGACGACAAATCACTGATGGTTAATGTTCAGCCAAAAATAGGGCAATGACTATAAAGTAATCAAAGTTGATCATAAACCTTTATGCCTTTTATGTTTGCCAGCATTGGAAGTAGATACTTTGTACAATGCTTCTGTTCTTACAAACTTGGAAGGAAAAGGAAAAATCTCAGGTTTCTTATACAAGGTGAATTAAACTAGCCATTCTTGAAAAGATTTATCAGCTTTTGGTATATACAAGTCTTTGAAAAAGCTTTGCAGGACAAGCACTAGAAGGTGGGAGATATGTAGAGAATAATATTATGAATGCCATCTTAGTTCCTGATGCCTCCAACTAGTGATGATTAGCACAGTTGACATGCGGACATGTGTTCACTACATTTCTTACAAGGAGTTATCTGCATGTGCAACTTGGAGGACTAATGCCTTTTCAACTTCAGAGCAACTATTTTTTGTTAAATTGAAACAAAGCCAACATACCTTCAGATAAATGCCAACGGATGCTAGACAGCTGTGTTTCATGCTCTGGATATGATTCCTTCACCTTTTCATCAATTACTACAAAGAACAAATAGTTGTACGTTATTTGTAATGTTTTAACAAAAAGGACCGTAGGACTATAAGTGATCTGAAAATGTTGGTATCCAACAATAGTTAATTTGTACCGAAAGGAGGTCTCAATAACCATACCTACAACTGTTATTTCAGCCCCATACTTCTTTGCTAAAGTGGCAGTAGTAGCTGCAGCCTATATATACCAAGAAAAAGACTAAGCTCGGTAAGCTAACAGCTGGATTCAATACAGTCATGTGAGTAGAAAAATATTGATGCAAGCCGTATTTTGGTGAGTAATCCCACCAGATTTTACAAAACTATAGAGCACAGACAATGAGCAAATAAGTGATTGAGATTGATACCAAAATGTCAAAGTGCAAACTAACATTCCTAAGTTAACTGAAAACTTCAGTACATCTTTTAAAAAGCATATCTGAAACATCCATCAGTTCTGCACAATTTGGTGAATAGAAACTATTGAAGTTGAAACTGATATCACACACAAGAAATCACCATTCAATGAATTGAAAAGGGAAAAAGAAAGAAGGCTTCCAACGTAGTTCAGTGGTTAGTAGACAGCTAAGCAAAAGAATACAATTCAATCACTGAGATAGACTGGTATTGTAATATTCATGCCAAAAGAAAGTGAAAGGATGAGGGGGTGGGGGTTGGAAGTAAACCTGTCTTGTACCCTCAGACAGGTAAGGATTCCGATCTGTAATTGGAAGAAGCAGATGCTTGAATTGACTGAAGGAGTCAACAGCCGGGACTTCAGCTTTTACTGCCTTTACTTTCACTGAAAAATTGAGGGCATATCTTAACCAAAAAAAAAAAATCATGTATGATCTAATTGGCTCCAGTATTTTTTAATACTGCATGAGAGACAAAAATAGGAAATTTCTGTCATTTGACAGTCCCAAATGAAACAATGCAAAGATTGCTCTTTTCGAACTTTTTGCCATGGTTTCCAGCTCTATTGAGAGTCACATTTTGAAGTTTTCCAAACGGAAATCTCCAAAGAGGCGAAAATTAGAAAGAGGAAAGACAGCAACTATTTTCAATCCAGCTTTTTCCACATAGTGGTAAACTAAGAATCACAAAAAAGCAATAAGTCTAAACCAGGAACAGACTTTCTGTAAGCATTGTTGAAGGTTTGCTGAACACTGGTGGCCTTAGATCAATACACGGAAGCTCTTTACGACTATATGGAGTTTAGGACCATCCATACGATGCAGAAGAACTTTACCCATCAAGAATTGTCCTTTCATCGCATTATTTATTTATTACTACTAGCAAAATTGTCAAAAATGACAGATCAATCTGCTCAACTACTTGGAAAAAATAAAGGAAATAAAGATTAAAAAAGAAAACGGCATTTAAAAGCTCCAAACACGGTCAACTATCATATCTTAACAAGGACATCCAAATATCAGCATGCATGATGCAGCCACATATAGGTAAAAAGAGTAACGATTCAATTTGAAGCTCATGAGAAAAATGCATCTAAATTCTTGCTAACCATTCCCAATTTAACACACGAAGGCTATTGCCTTTTGGCAATCAGAAAGTAAGAATCATTGTGGACAGGGAATATTCAGATTTATCATAAAATTTGAATACCTGATGGAGATTGAGCAAGCTAGTAATTTAGCTTGGGGCCTTTCCCTTAATATGCAAATAATCAATCGAACAATAAGATAAACAAATAGAAGGAATTGGGTCCTGCCCTCATACAGTAAACAAAATAAAGTAACCATTCAAATTAGCAGTCACGGAATTGAAAATAACATAAATCAAGAGAGTCCCAAGAAGTCAAAGCTAATTGCAACCAAAAATAAAAATTTTAAACAAAAAAAAGAGGGGACGGGTGGTTCACCTTTATGTCCAAATTTGCGAAATTTGGAGAAAAAGGAGAGCTTGGTAACTTTATAATTGGGGTGGAAAGAAGAGAAGGGAAGGGAAAGAAGAGAATTGGAAATGGAGGGCAATGGAGGAGGAGTTAGAATTGACTTTCTCAAGTTGGGATGCGAAGCTTCAACTGGAGCTGCTGCCATCAAGTAGTGAGCAAAAGCCATCGAATAAAATAAATGGACTACTCACGCTTGATTCTTGACTCAAATCAATATTCAATACCCCTTGTTTCTCTTTCTCTTTTCTCTACTGACAAGTGTTCCGTAGTTATAAGGTATGCTGCTGCTGTGGGAGGAGAATTGGTTTGATGAGCAGGCTGGATGGGTTCCAGAAACAGCAGAGATGGTGGATGACGCAGCTAAACAGCCAAAACTAGTAGTATAGTATAATAAGCATAAAGGAAGTAACTAGACGTGGCTGCTTAGTGCATTTGGGGAACCGTAAGCGGCGGAATGGGACGAGCTTTCTATTATCAGCGTCATCATTACCGAGACGAATCTGACGGACGATGCCCCATAATGCTTTGTTTGGTGTCCTTTTCCTTCTAAGGGTCCAACGCTGGTTTGTCGCACAGGCGTCAAATCAACTCATTTATGCACCATTCAAGGACCTATCTGTTTGGCACTTGAATTTTTTACCAAGTTTATCTGGTACAAGTTTTTTTAAAAATTTTAATTACAGTAATTTTTAAAAAAATTTCAAAAATTTTAAATTATATACTTCAAAATATTTAAAAAATTACAAACTTTAAAAAATTTTTAAAAAATTTTTACAATAAATTATAATAAAATTTTAGATAAACATCTAAAAAACTCACTTGTCAAATGGGGCCAATGTAAGTTTAAGCCCAAAGGAATAGTTCATACTTCAGAAAACTTGGACTATTAACTATTGAGTAGGCCCAAAATCATGACAGGTGATATTTACTTTACATTCGAAATCTTCATCCTTGCATTGACAATGTAGAAAGTGTGAATCTATGCTACTATTATGGGTTTGTTTGGATAGGATATTATTTGAAATATTATTTGGAATAATTACTGTAGCATTTTTTGTGATATGATGTATATGAGATAAAAAGGTAATTGAGAAGATAAAAAACTATATTGGAAATTGTAATGGTAATGTCAGCAAATATATTTGTCCAAATAATCTACTGTCCAAACAAACCATGGTTAATACATTTTTGCCACGCAATTGTCTATAAATGTAGTGTTACTAATTCCAAACTAGTATAAATTTTTGTAAGAATGATAGGGGTGAAAATTTTGTAAGAATGATAGGGGTGTAAATTTGAAATTGACTTGTTTACTTTTCAAGTTGAGTTTGAATAAGTTTTATGAAATTGAATTCAAGTTGAACTTGAGTAATTTGAACTTTTTACATGTAAATTTCACTTATATATTAATCAAACCGATTTTGAAAGTTTATCAAATTTAAATTATTGTTCAAGTTTGATCTGATTAGCTGATGAATCAAATTCGAATGAATTTTTACTGAACCAAAATGGGTACGAGTATCAAGTATTCTGGTTGTCTTTCAACTTGGAGGGAAGAGCTTGTGATAGAAATTAAGAATACTTGCTTTTTCATGCCTTCTTTTATCCAAGCATTTGTATTGGCAAATGATATTGCCAAAGCCAACGTTTTAAATCCATAACAAGTTTTTTTTAAATGACAAAACCACCTCTTTTAATTCCAAATTACAATCGGAGTATGAAGTGGCATTAATGCAGTCCCTCACTTAAAATTAGTATGGATGGAGAAATGTCCATAGAGATTAGAAGGAAATGATAAAAATTTTATCTTTCTTAGGAGTTTATGGAAATAAAAGGTACAAAAAAGTAGGAATGATGTTTGAAAGAAATGGAATGATGAAATAGTTTTTTCATTAACTTTTGAAAAAAAAAGGAGAATAGTTAGAAAGTTAATTAAGACATCACAAATTTTCCGTCTATTATTCCCCTCATTTCTGAAAGTTTGAAACTATTTCATCTTTCGATTTGTTTCCAAAATAATCTCAAATCGAGTAAGAGAAATTCATCCAATGCTCCTCTCTTTAGTTAACATGCAGTATAACTCAAGTTTATTGTTCATTCCATATCTCCCTTCTTTTCTATTTTCTCTCTTCCAAACAAAGCCTCAAAGTGAGGGTATTTAGGTAACTTTGCTCCACGACGTCGTTTCCTTCAAAAATCAACCGGCGAAATTCTTAAGCTCACGCGACGTCATGCAATTCGTCCAGGAGCGGGCGCAGACGGCGGAGCTGTCATATGGAACCTAACCAAGACGACGACGACGCCGGCGTCGACGAGTCATCTCCCCAAGAAGAAATGATCACAACTTCAACGCACCATTTCGGCGACGGAGATGATGCCTTCTCAGTCACTATCATTGAGGCATGTCCCTTTATCCAACTTCTCTTCTACTTCTGAATTAACTCCAAAAGAAAAAAAAAGTTGAAGATTTTTGTATTGTTTTTATATTTGCTCAATTTAGAGTATGAAAGAAGAGTACGGGTTATTCGTGTGGCCATGTAGTATTATTTTAGCTGAATACGTTTGGCAACAAAGATCCCGCTTTTCCGGGGCTAATGTAATCGAGGTAATTATCTAAACAAGAGTTCCAAGATTCTCCTATAAATCCTATTCAATCATGGGTTATGGTTCTTGATCTTAACTAGTGCTAGTTATATTTGACAGCTTGGTGCGGGGACTTCTTTGCCCGGTATAGTTGCTGCTAAAGTTGGCGCTGACGTCACACTCACAGATGATTCGAATAGACCTGAAGTATGCTGTTTTACACATTTATTTTTTAGAAGTTTGGCTTACAGTTTAGAGTCATTTCTGTGTCTTGTAGTTTTGTTACATCCCTAGTTGCTTCAGTTTTGTTCTTGACATGTGCAGGTGCTGGATAATATGAGGAGAGAATGTGAGCTGAATAATGTGACATGCAAAGTATGGAATGGTTCTTTATTTGATAATAGTAGATTTTAGCTTGCTAGCTTATATGATGCATCTTCAGTTCTTCGCAGATAAATGATGCATTGCATACTTAGTTTCTATATTCTAGACCATAATCTGAAGCAGCGTTTGACTAGAGCCCAATAAACTTATAATTGGTCATATTTATATGTATTGCAAGGTGCTGGGACTTACATGGGGTGTTTGGGATGAACCGATATTCACCCTGTGCCCAAATATTATCCTTGGAGCTGATGTCCTATATGAAACAAGTGGTAGGCTTGTCCCTATTTTTCTCTTCCCAATTTGGTGACTTTTTTGGTTTTGTTTCACATATCAATTAACTGGAAAGATATTTTTACCACGCATGCACTTTGAAGCATTTGATGATCTTTTTGCTGCTGTGGCATATCTGCTCCAGAATTCTCCCTCTTCAGTTTTTATAACAGCTTACCACAACAGAAGGTGATTATGGATTTTCAATTCCTGATCTTTTCTTGGCTCAGGGACATTTGGTACTGCACTTGGGTGTATCACAGGTTTATGTTAATTTTTTATTTCTCTTTTACTGTAAACAGTGGGCATCACCTGATTGAGTTCTTGATGGTTAAATGGGGATTGAAGTGCATGAAGCTTCTAGATGGGTTTTCATTCATGCCAGCTGACAAGGCATCTGGATTAAGTGGGAATATACAGTTGGTAGAGATAATTTTGGATAATGACAAACTAAGTTAGCAAATGGTCGTGATGCTTATTGAGAAAAATGGTAAGATGCAATATATTTTTTTTCTTTGTTCTTTTTCTCTCCCTCTCTCTTTTTTTTTTTGCCTTCTTGAATGACTGTTAAAATACATGGGGTGTTGGGGATGACATTAACATGTTACACTATCTGTTCCCCCTTGGGTTTTATTTATTGTATCACTTCTGGAATTAAAGCTTATTATCTTCTGTTCAGAAGTGTGCAAAAAGGTTAACTTCCTAAAACTGGATTAAGTCAATTTGTACTGAGATCTGATCAATCAATTTGGATGTCCATTTATGAGCTACCCGTGGGCAAATAATTATATGTCAAGACCTCCAATTCTGCTTTCAAGTAAAATCAGTGGTTAAATTTTCATGAAGGCTTTCCATTTATCTCTTTCCCCCCTAACATCAAGTTTTGTATTGAGCCCCAAAAATTCTGCATAACAGAGTATCCAAACAGGACTGCTATTTGCTGGATAGGAAATAGACTGCTTTAACATTTACATCTGTAAATATTATATGCATTGTTCTGTGGAGTATTGAATTTCGGGGTTCATATAATCTTAAAAATCAACAAGCTTGATAGCTCTGGTTTTCTTCCGATCACTTTAGATGATGGAAGTGCTTAGTTGAGAAAGATAGTTTAGTTTACCACCCTACAGTCCTTTCTAATTTCTTGACCACCTGTGATGCTGCTCATCTTGATCATGGAACTTGAAAAGGCCTCATAGAAAGTTTCTTTTGAGGTCGCAAACTTTGAAACCAAGTCTTTCGTCTTTGGAGAAGTGAGTAAAGCCTGATCTGAAGAGAAGAGGCTCTTCCCTTGTAGAATCAACTTGTAGTATGTGTTGTCAAAAGTAGTTGACGATGGATCCATTGAGGTGCCTCCATTTTTTGTGCCACTCTTGTTTGGACAAATGCTTTTCAAACTTGCTGCAAAGGATGGGTGTAGTGTAGGATCAATGTCATGGGTGGCGTTGAAATTGTGGATTCTGTTCTGGAATGATGAGCAATGGGAAAAACCTATTGTGTGGCCACCTGCAAAGTGTGGAAGGAATAATTTTTTTAGTTTGTGAAGGTGGAAAGAAATGATGTGCAAGACAGTTTGGAACTTGGTTCTATAACCTGAGAGAGCAACAAGGTCTTCCATGGACAGACCTCTCTGAGAGAAGCTTTGTTGGAGTTGTGATATATTGAAGAGTGGAGCTGGCATTTGTGTTGTTTCGCTAGCCTTAGATATCCTCCCATCTTTTCTTCCTTTGGGTACATCCCAATACGGCCCACCAGACTGTTGTATTAAACACAGTTTAACAACTATATTTTTGACTGAAATTGACCGTCAACTATGTTACATCAAATGTGTATTGGACGACATCAGTTCTGAATCCTAAACCACCATCCTGCTCTTTCTAAGGCCAATCAGCGCTTCAAAACTCTCTTATACTTTACCTTCATATGATTCTGGCCTCTATGTGGTGTTACATATTTTTGTTTCGCTTTCAGTGGGTCAAGATAGATTGATCACGTCTTATTAAAGGTGCAATATTTCATTGTAGTATCGGCAGAAGATGCATCTCTTGCAATATTTCGTATTTATTCTATACAATATTTATGGTTTACTTACCAGAACAACTGCATCTCTTGCAGCTGAAGCCAAGATATCAGCACAAGACACTACACCAGGGCAAAGAGCTTCCACTGCCTTCTTTGCATTGTCAATGACATAGAACGCATGCAAAGATTTATTAGGGGGTCCGTCCTTCTCAGCGCTGTTCTTCCCTTTGGAGTTCAACAGCACAGAAGCATCACAACCCTTCCGAACAAGCAAGTCATACAAATAAATATGAAAGTGTTAACTAGCGACAAAGAGTCGAGTTATGTGAGACAATTCAAGCCAAATGTTAACTAGGTCATACATACCCTGATAAAACAATCATGAAAATGCATCCTCAGTAGTGCTGCAGGCACCGTGTTGTCTTTCTTTGCAGCATCCTTTACAACCTCTGTTACAATGCTTTCGGCATTGGGGCATGTCTTTTCATAGTAATTCAAACTGAGCGCATGCCCTTGAGAGCAGACCAAACAGATGAAGAGGGAGATGGACAATGAAACTAGGCAAGCCATAGCACTATACAGATAAGGAGCTCTAGCAGGTATCTGACGCTTTTGTCACTTGTGTTGATATATATATAGGGAGGAAAAAGAAAGACAGCATGATTTGGATGTTGAATGGTTGGCTACTACATTGAATTCGGTAGCATAATTGTTGGCGTTTGATGATTAAGAGTGTGCTCTAAGCATCCTCAGCGCAAGTTTTGGTCTCTAATTCTGTTTTGTCTGTCCACCTTTTAGCCCCTCACTAGCACCGGTAAAACTTTGTTTATTGGAAACTCGTTACATCAATGACTAGAAAGCAAAGCAATGGTTAAAATGAATAATAACTAGAAGCACACACTAGTTATTCTCTGGAAAAGTTCCTTCGGATTCTAGTACGCCAAGTCAAAAAGGAAAACAGGAAAAAATGATGGAACTTTTTACGTCTAGCCACTCTTGCTGGAGGTGCATTAGCAGGTTAGGGGTGGTTGGAATTGCTCCATCAATTTGTTACTTGATTCATCATGGATTATCATTACTCTCAAGTTTTAGCTTTTGTTGGTTATATGAATGGAATAACAGATATGAAGAGTTGGGGGTAGGGCTGCATGAGGTTCGCAGACTGGATTTGGGATGTGACGTGATGTGATGTACTTTGGATTCAACTAATTGGGGTTGAGATGTCAATTTACCAATTTATTAAGTACATGACAAGTTTAATTAAATTAGTCACATGCTTGTCTACTCATAAGTTTTTGATAATCATGTGAACGATTTTTCCATTACCTAAACAGCACCACCATCGTCGGATCAAGGGTTCTTGTTTAGTTACATCTTGAAGGTACATTTACTTTTATCAACTACATATACCTGTTGTGCATAGTGCATACTACTACTACTACGTTGTCGTGAGATTTTGGTCCCCAGACGTATTTGGTTTGAATTTGATTTTTATTTTTATTTTTTTGCATACGTGACTTGTAATTAAAAGGTATTAATATATACACTGTCAGTGTAAACAAAATTAAGTTACTTATCAAAGTATAAAATTCAAGACATTTCATGTAGATTGTTCGTGTTAGTTTTAATTAATTAAATTAATGGATCAAGAAAAATGTTGTTAGCTACTTTTTTCTTTTTAAGTTAAATTACATTGACGTAAAATCCGGGATTACATGACATTGACGAAATCATTTTATACCTCATTAAACAATTTAATATGCCAGGAGATTTCAAAATGAACACACAACACTTTGGGTGTTTTTGGGCCTTTGTTTAGGCTGCTACTACGAGTTAACAGTTTCTTTTCCCGGCAGTCATTTCTTTGGGCTCAGGAGCCCAACAATTAGGTTCCTATTTTCCGCAACCCGAAATATGGTTCCAAAGTCCAAACCGCATCCGCCCCAAGTCCGGAACCCGATCCAGATTCGCCGTTGCCTCTAGTTCTCCTGCTAGAATCCTGGGATGTAGGGTTTTGTTAGCTGGATGGAGCAGAGCTAAAAAGTAAAAACAAGACCGCCGATTGACATAGACCTCCGACGAATTCTGCTGGGTTTTGCTGAAATTTCTCCGGCGACGGAAAAAGAGCGCATTTCCATGGGGTCCAAAGGCAAGAACAAGAAGAATATGACTAAGCCTGACGGTGACGCCACCGCCAACCACCGTAATGATGGAAAAATCATCACCGATGCTCGTTTCGCATCCTTACACTCGGACCCTAGGTTTAGGGAGCCACCGAAGCATAAAGCCAAGGTTGCGATTGATTCTCGCTTTAACCGCATGTTTACTGACAAGGATTTCGCTACCTCAAAAGCTCGCACTGATAAGAGGGGCAAACAGAAGAAGAATGACTCCGCTGCTAACTCTTTGAGGCATTATTATCGCCTCGAAGAGGAGGAAGAAGGAGCGAAAGAGAGGAGTTTGGGAAAGGAATTGGTGAAGAATGAGGAGAGCGGAGAAAGTGAGAGTGAGGGTGTTGAAAGTGATGAAGAAAGTGAGAGTGTGAACGTGGAGAAAGGGAGCTTGAAGCTGGAAAATGAGTCCGAAACATCGGATTCTGAGGAGGAGGAAGAAGAAGAAGAGGAAGCTGAGAGTGATGACTCGATGAGTACTACTTCGGATTCAGATGAGGCGTACGAAGAGGAAGAAGATACTTTTGGGCTGGTAAAAATGAATAATGCAGGTTGAATTTATATAATTTGGGGAACTTTGTTCGAAAATTTTAAATGTTTAACCTTTTATTTGTGCGGAGCAGGAGGAGACTGTTCCGGAAATTGATAAGGAGACGCATAGGCTTGCGGTTGTCAACATGGATTGGAGTCAAGTCAAGGTTAGTAGTATTGAAGATTCTAAGGTTTGTATTAATATAGGGGAAGAGATTGTGTAAAGAATATCTTGATGGTTTGTTATCTTTTTCTTGATCGATACATGTCGTCTGGGAGACTGCATTTTCTATGACTTGAAGGTATTTTAATTGGTGTCTTAGACTCTATAGAACCCCAACAAAGAGAGGAAAATGAGCTCATGTTGTATCCTGCATGTAATTGGTGTTGTGTTTTTCGTGGACTTGAGCTTAGAATGTTGATTTTTGCACTGAAACTAGATTGTTTCCTGTAGGCAGTTGATTTGTATGTCTCGCTAAGTTCGTTTCTTCCTAGAGGTGGTCAAATTATGTCAGTGGCAGTCTACCCATCTGAGTTTGGGCTCAAACGAATGGAAGAGGAGGCGATTCATGGTCCTGTTGGGCTATTTGAAGATGACAAAAAGAATAATCAAAATGATGAGGATGAAGATGATGATGATGATGAAATTGACAATGAGAAATTGCGTACTTATGAATTAAGTAGGCTAAGGTGACATGTCTGCTCTCCTATATGTGCATATACATACCTTTTATTGTGTCTGTTTTTCCACCGCTTGAGTTTAATTTCAAAATCTGTTATCTTTACTTTGTAGTTGTGTAGCTTTGGTTTTCAGAATAAAAACCTATGGCATGTGTTGTTTCTTGTTATCTATTTTCCAAATTTCATCCTGATTCATTTGTAATAGCTTTGCTATGCTTCCTGAATGTTTATATGATAAAACAATCTCTTTCCTGCCTGGTGGTTAAAAGAGTGATTGCTCTCTCTCTCTCTCTCTCTCTGTGCGCGCGTGTCCACATGCATCTATCTGTATTCGTGTATGCCTTTATGCCTGTGGGTGTGTGCAAATTCACACATGGAGTATAAGTTTCTCTGGTGTTTCCACTTATATTTCAGGTACTACTATGCTGTGGTGGAATGCGATTCAATTGCTACTGCAGATTACCTCTATAGGACTTGTGATGGAGTAGAGTTTGAGAGATCATCCACTATGCTTGATTTGAGGTTTGTACCAGATAAAATGGAATTTAAGCATCAACCACGTGATGTTGCAAAGCATGTAAGTCTTTGTCCTTATTCTTAATGCATAGCTTATACTTGTTCTGCAGCGAAGTGCTCGGCCAATAAGATAGCTCTTCAAAGAGGTTTCTTGCCCCAGGTCAATTAAACACTGTTATTTAGTTTATTAGATTGAATAATTTGAGATTGCCTTTCCTTTCATTAGGCACCAGCAGACTATGAAGGATTGGACTTTCAAACTCGAGCACTTCAGCAAAGTAAGATTCATCTGACATGGGATGATGATGAGCCACAGCGTGCAAAAACCTTGAAGCGAAAATTTAACGATGATCAGGTACTTTGATTTTCATTTCAACTCAACGATGATCCGGTGTTTATTTTTGCTACTGGTTTGGGAAGCAACATGTGATTATATACTGTTTGTGCATCTTTGTGCTTCTTGCTGCAAAACATGCATAGTCAGAGCATGATCCAACGTCTTTAAAGTCATAGTGCTTTGATTAATGGAAGTATTATTTCTACATAACCGGGTAAGTTTTATACAACTGGCATTGATGCGGTTCTCCTCTTTCAGCTTGCTGAGTTAGAGTTCCAGGAGTTTTTGGCTTCTGATGAGAGTGATAGTGATGAGAGTGAGAACAATGATGGCATGCAAAATGGATCATTTGTAAAACAGAAGAAGCAGGATATGTACCGTGCTCTTCTCCAGTCAGGGGATGGCTCAGATGAAAATGATGAGAAGTACCAGGACATGGAGGTAACGTTCAATACTGGTTTAGAAGATTTAAGTAAACGGATTTTGGAAAAGAAAGACAGAAAATCAGAGAATGTTTGGGACGCTATCCTTAGAGAGAGACGTGAGAAAAAGAAGGCCAGGAAAAATAGATCGAAAGATTCATCAGAAGATGAGAGCATTGATACTGATAATGAACCTGCAGAAGAAACTGATGACTTTTTTCTTGAAGAATGTTCTGGAAAAGAAAGTAAGGTTTCTCAAGGTAGAAATGCGAGAAAAGAGCAGCAGAATGAAGATGCATCTCGAGAAGCTGAAGCAAGTAGAGCAGAACTTGAATTGTTACTTGCTGACGATAAGGGAGCAGATTCCGGCTTGAAAGGCTACAATCTGAAACGCAAGAAGATGAAAGGGAAAATGGGTAAAGAAATTCCCGATGAAGGGAAGCTGCCAACTATTGACTATGATGATCCTAGGTTTTCAACCCTGTTCACTTCACCGCTTTTTGCTCTGGATCCCACGGATCCTCAGTTCAAACGGTACTTCTTTTACTGCACATTTGGTCAACGTTTCCAGTTTTATGATGACTTGTGTACTTGACCCTCTTCATTTCTTCTTCACCAATATTGTCTGGATTTTAGAATATTTTCCTGATAATCAATCAATATTTTTCCAGTATAATCTATATAGCGATTTTGACATGTTATTTTCTGAAAGTTACTGCTTGCTCTGTGGCTTCATCTGATGAGGTGTCTCCTCTTTTTTTTTTTTTTTTTTTTTTACAGGAGCGCAGCTTATGCACGACAAATGGCAAATAGACAACAGAAGAGCGAGTCCGAGAACAACAGGGTAAAGGAGCCGTCAGAAACACTTGGACAAGTTTTGGTGTCTAGTAAGACACAGAACGATGACAATCGCGAGTTGCACCGTTGTCTGCCGCCTGCAAAGAAAGAGAAGCTGGAATTGTCCTCATTAGTTAGGTCAATTAAGATGAAATCAAAACAGATTCCCCTTCATGATAAA